ATTGTCTTCGGTGGACACGAGAGCGAAATTTGCAAACAACATCGCACGACGGTTTGAACAGATCCCAGTGGTGACAACTGATGTCGAAACCGAGCGGAAGCTCTTTAGGAGCGGCATATTCCAGGCTGCCGCCGAATGCTGCGGATATAAACGGGTTGACCTGCCGCCTGGAGATCAGCAAAGATCTTCATGGTAGACACGAGAGGTACAGCTGGCAGTTAAAGGAAGCAGCGTTCATGAAATGGCTTGGAAGCAAGGAGCCTTCTGCTCGCGTGCGATATGTCGACACAGTCAAGGCGGCAGCCGTGGCAAAAGCTAAAGCTGATCCCTGGGAGAAGTTCGGTGAGGTGTTGGAGTCGAATTTCTCACGGCAAATAAAGTATTCTGGCAGACCATCCGCCGTCTCTGAGGTGAAAAGACTGACAGTTTCAGAGTCTTAAAGGACACATCTGGACACCCTCTTACCAAGGATGATGACATTCTTCGACGATGGAGAGGGTAGTTCGAGGAACTCTTTAACCTTGAGCAACCGCAGGAAGACTCGCCTGTAGAGCAGTAGAGAACATATATTATCGGCGTAGTAGCTGTCCAGACTAGAAAGCTGCTGTTTGCGGACTAGTCTGTTATGTTGGTATGTTTTGAAACTGATCTCCAGCACTCTTTGGAAAGAATCACAACTGAGTGCGACGTGCTTGCACGCTTTTGAACGTATCTAAAACGAATAGCAATATGCTTTTTCGTCTTGCTGCCCGTTGCTTACTTCAAATTAACGAAGAGACAATTCAACGAGTAGATAAGTCCAAGTACTTTGGGGTGTTGTTTAGTTCTGATGGAAAATGAGACGTAGCGATGTACCTGTCGACTGGAATCGCCAGTGGTGTCTGCCTGAACCGTTGTGGTTTAAGCAGAGCTGAATCTGAATACTAAGATCTCTGTGGCAAAATCTATCTATGCTCATCTCCACCCTCATCTACATTCATGATTAGTGGATCGTACTGGAAAACGGGTACAAGCTGCTTAAATGGGCTTTCTGAGAAGAAACGTTATTCTCACACGTTTCGATGTGATCCGGAGAGCAGTAATCTCAGATAGCCTTGATGTGCCGTTGATGCTGCTTCAGGTTGAGAATTCAGAGCTTCGTTGGTTTCGGCAGGTGTTGCCAAGGCCTCAAGAAGCAACTGCCTCTTGCCCAAATGACGTACAGAAGACCCATGGAACGGCCGAGATTAAACTGGTGCACGTGTATTGGAGGAGTCTGTTCTATAGAGTCTGGTTAGTTTCTGCCTAAGCTCAGATGCTGGCCCGAGATCGAAACCTTCGGAAGCACTGGTCTGCCGCCGTTGCCTAAATTGAGAAGCATTCATGGAAAGTGAAAGTGGAACAAAGGCTCGTCTTTTTTGGATTAGAACCCGGCATCTGGAGTTTGCTCGACCTCTCCCCCCCCCAAGTATGAAAACAGGTTTTCCTACTCACGCAAAATGATGATGGAGAACATGCGATGTGCATAACGATTGATTCAGATTTTGACTCTTGTGTACCTGACCTACGTCGCAAGACGTAATCGGAAAAGTGAAACGACTGTGAAATAAGGTTATACCCACTACTGAAATGAGAGCCTTTACATTCCGTTTAAGTGCTATGCGGTTGCCGTTCAAGATCTGCGCCAAGGGTGGTGAGACCTTGAACTTATAATGTTTACCGGACGGGAGGTATTGTAGAATGACTATGAGCTATTTTCACTACTTTCGTGAAATAAATCCTCTGAATCGATCGCCCTTGCCTTCAGGCAATTATTTAGCGTTCATTAGTTGCCGCCGAGGCTTGAAGTTCCTACTTGAGGCATTCCGTACAGCAGACAATTGGCACCATTGCTTCTATCGTTGAGGTATGTTGTGACCATCAAACTGAGCTCTTTTTATAAGCGGAACTTTGATTGTTTTTGCTATCCTGCTCTTTTTTCGCTTTGCGATGCTTTTGCATTTGCAATGAACAATTTCTTCTCCGTGAACTTAGGTCTGCCGTTGTCTTAACGCGGATCATTAAATCTGAATGCCGCCATGTACTATTTTTCGGTTCACAGATTGAAGTAAAATGCCCATGCTCCATAAGATCATCCAGCAGGACTAATCCTCCTTTCTTAATCTCTAAATCCACTGAGGATACTTTTACCTTGAGGGTCGCAGAGTCACTCTTCCGTGCTCACTCTCTGTAGTCTTGATTACGCGCTGAAAGCTGTGTCTGCAGTTCTACCGTCAGTCATGATTTTTCGTTAATCTGTCTGATGAATGATTGCATCAGTGCAGTTCGAAACATCAGATCTCATGCTGAATGTTTTTGTTTACTTTATGCGTGCAAGCAACCATAAAGTCGCAAATATTGCATTCTAGAACATTCGATAAATTATTTATTTGTAGCAAATTCATTCTCAATACACAACAAAACAATTTAAGCCTTCCATCCTTTATGCGAAACATGTACTGCTGTACTGCTTTCGAGCATGGACATGAAGAAACTGCTGCTGTGAAGCACAGGCTATTGATAACCTGCAGTGTACTGGTAGCAACGACGTAAAGATTTTGAACCGTGACAGCGCCGTTGAGCATCTCATAACACAAAAATTGCCGTGATGGAATCATTTAATGCGGACTGTATCAATGAAGAATTGAGCTTTAAACGTCTTTCACTTAGCTGGAATGTCATCTTCGGTAATTTATTTCGAATTCTTAATCCATTTTATTAGCTTTTCGTCTTTTTTCTTTTATCCCCTTTAACCATTTTTTTATCTTTCATGTGTTTCATTTTCTTTCATCTATTTTCTAACCTCTGGTGCGTTTTTTCGTTACAGTGTTTAATTTATTCAGTTCTGATCTTCGTTATCCGTGATTAAGATGTCTCCTTTGTACAGTATTAATTTAGGCTGAAGAAGGAATATTGTTTTGGGTACTGAAAGCGATATTTAATAAAAGTATTTTTTCAGGTTTCTAACAGACCCTTTTGTCTATTATCATTAAGTACCGGTTTATGTCTTTTCGACCTGAAAGACTCTAAACGTCTTGTAAATTGTCTGCTCTACCCTGATGCTTCAACGTAGGGAACAGAAGTAATCATCATGTGCTTCAGTGAGTGCTGATGTCACTGTTTCGATGGCTCCGATTGTAATAGAAATTGCTTGTATTGCGATATTGTCCAGCATGCGATCACCGAAAGACACTCTTTCAGTCAGATCAGTGTGTGTGCCATTGACAAAGATCATACAAAATTAGATCTAGTGATAAAGGACTCTTTGTATGCACTGACAGTGAAAAACCGGATGTCCAATGAATATACATTTTCTTGGGTTATTAGCGAATGCTAGGGACGATTGCAAAATTGATATGATAAATCTACATAATTTTGATCTGATTGTTCCAATGTAAACTTCACACTGTTTATTGGTCAGCATTCTGGCTGGTCAGCTTAATGGCATTTTGATTGTAAAGTACTGTTCGTTTGCTGGACATGTGGTTCAAGAGGGCGTTTGTACTTAACACAGGCCTGACGATCCTACAGTCTATGTGGCGAAACGCGTCGGCAGTAAACTGTTGTGCCATCTGTCATATTTTGTGCCCTGAACCATGAATCATTCAAGCACATATCTGTAGGCATTACTATCTCCTTTACTTTGTTCTATCTCCATCCATTAATTTTTAATATTTAAATTTACTTTGTCTCCTATGAACAGATGTGTTTTCTGTCATCCGAACACGTCACATCGATGATTAGTGTCTCCCTTTTCGCTTTTCCTGCGAACACCTTATCCGGACGATGAGTTAATATTTCATTAACGGTTCGTATTCGAAAATCCCGCAGTGTCTTCACTTGCTTATTCCTTCCACCGCTTTCTGCTGATCATTTCACTAATGCATTACCGCCGGTAAAACGGCTCTCTGGTACCATCAGAGGATGGACTGCCCCTACAACATTGGGTTATGTATTTCGTTGTTTTATCCATTTGCAATGAAAAAGTATTTGGACACTGTCTCATCCATTGCTTGACGTATTATGCACGTAGTTTTCGGCTGCATGTGGAGAATTTTCGTTTGGCACCAGTTCAGTGGGCGATATACGACGCTCAGTGCTTCGTCTTGGAATTAATAATGCTGTATTTTCACTGTACATTGAATTACTATTTATCATTTTCATCAACGCCATTTTATTATTATTTCAGTTTTAATCTGTCAGATAGAAGCCAAGTCGATAGGCAAAATATATGGAGGAAACGTCAATGCATTATGTATCGGTCACTTTGCCATTTGGACGTCATTTTAGGACGGTGTTTATGGATAGCGCTGTTACATACAGTCTCCCACTTGCCCCCCGCAATGTGGTGCTCGTTTCTGCCCCTCTGAACGGTAAAAACGAAAGATCCTTGCAGATTACGAACCCAGCATCTCTCGACTGTGAGTCAGAAGCTCAGTGAAATGTAAACCTAAAAGGAGGCTGCCTGTTTGATCGGTTTTGCGTCAGTGGCTTTGCTTGTGCTTATTACGTTTTCGTTTGATGTAGAGACTCACGCCTTCCTTTCGCTGCAACGTCAACATGCTGTAAATATGTTATACCTTCTGTCCATTCGCGCCGTAGTCACATTTATCGATCGTGTGTGTGTGTGTGAAGCGACTTTGAAAGACCTATTGCAAAGTGTTCGCCGCTTATGTGCTGTTCAATTATTCGCCCTTATTATCTACGATTGTGTTTTCCTCTTCCTCGTTGTTGCCACAGTCGTTTGATGCTAATGACAGTTTGAACAACACGGTGCCGAGCTTCTACGTTTTCCGAATCCTGTATGCCCCGTGACTGAAGTCGGCAAGGAGGACCCGAGGCTGCTCAAGTTCTGAACTCAGGAAAATCGATAATATATTTGCCCTGGGAAGCTTCTTCTGCTTCTATGGTCACCGCAATTACCGAAACAATGTTTGAAATGTCAGATCTTCCCAAACGCATCATCCGTTTCATCCAAAAACTCTTCTACAGAGGAACAGATCTCGATTTAGGTTTGTTCCCTTGCTGTGGTCAAATCAATCAGTCAAATTTACTTTACTGAAATGAACCCGAAAGCACACGAAAAGTTATTAAAATCTGGATATAACAGTACAAGAGTGGATTTCTATCAGACTGACCAGAGTCTGATCCAAAATAACCGTTATGCATTCTTCTTTTTTGGGATCGATCAGAAGTCGGTCAGCGAATGAAACGACTGACCCTCGGTAAACCTCAGTCCGACTCCTACAAGAAACGTACACAGATCTTAAGATAGGTTGGCCGCGTAGATAGGCACTACTGGAAACATGGATGCAGTACGTGAATCTGATCGATAAAAAGAGCTGCCCAGAACAACCTCGTCAAAATGACCAAAATTATTCA